ACGGTCGCACATATACTTTTAATTAATATATCGCAAAAAATTAAAAATTAAACTTCTTTTTGAAAAATGACATCTCCTCAGAGTAGTGCATTTAAATTAAATTCACCAAAAGCAATTGACTTAATAAATAAAGATAATTAAAATATTAACTTATATTATTAAATTTAGGAGAAAATATGTTAAATAGCTCAATATTGCAAAACGTATTAACTGATATCAAAATTGATTCAGGTTTAAGTATAGATTATATTCTTTATAGAATAGAAGAAGCATTGAAGCAGCTATCTCCTTTTACACATGAAGAGTGGATAAACAAAGAACGTGATATTAACCACAAGTTTCAAGATGGTTATACATTATTACATTATGCTGTTGCAGGGAGTAATGTAAATGTATTAAAAGTTCTATTAGGAGCAGGTGCAGATGTTAATGCTAAAGATGCACATGGCAACACACTTTTACATTGGGCTGCTAAAAATGGTAGCATAGAGAAATTAAATATTCTACTAGCAGTAGGCGCAGGTGGAAGTATTCATACTAAAAATCAATATGGAAAAACTCCTTTATATCAGGCTGTTGTTAGTGGCAATGTGCAAGTAGTAAGTTCTCTCTTACAACTAGGTGCAGATGTTAATGCTGTATTAGCAGAAGGTGTAGATGTTAATGCTGCATTAGATCAATATCAAAACACTCTTTTACATTGTGCTGCTATTAGTGGTAACATAGAGGCAGTACACGTTCTATTAGCAAAAGGTGCAAGTATTAATGCTAAAAATAGTGATGGATGCACACCTTTACATTATGCTGCTGCAATTGGTAGCGATGGAGTGTCAAAAGTGCTATTAGCAGCAGGTGCAGATGTTGATGTTAAAGATCAAAATGGATACACTGCTCTACATTTTGCTATTGTTAAGAGCAATTTGGAAGTAGTAAGTATTCTATTAGAAAATGGTGCTGATATTAATGCTTTAGATCAAAATGCACAGTCAAAGTTAGATGCCTTATTAACAGCAGCATTTAATTTAACAGGTGTTAATATAACAAATGTTGCTGAACAAACAGCACGCGCACAGTAAAAGAAATCCCTATTTTTTATAATAGTTTTTTTACATTCGGGTTTAGTAGCAATCTTATTGCTACTAAAAGCCCAAAGGAGAGCTCTTTCAATAGAAACATAGACGCAAGTTTTTGACCCCGAAATTACCGTTGGAAATCTGTAGACCTTCTGCAAAACGTGAAACTTAGCTTGGAAGATTTCTTTCGTATTTTTTAAAAATTTTCTTGTTTAGAGCGTTGTAGAGAAGCAAAGTCACACATGGGATAGGTTTTTATACCCCCCAAAGAGAATTTGATGTTTATTTCTTTGTTTCGCAGAAGGTCTTGTTTTATTCGCGTAAAAATAGCGCATTTCAAATTCAATTTACCAAAATAATTGATTAATATTGACTTAGTAAAGAAAAATAGTTAAAATATTAACTTCTATTATTAAATTTAGGAGAAAATATGTTGAGTAATTTAAGATGGCAAGAAGTATTGCCAGGAGCATTGTACGACGAATTAGAGAAACTAAATTCAGGTCAAAATTTAAATCAAAGGAATGTCTTTAATAGGTTAGTAGCAATTTTGCAAAAATATCTGGAGATATTTAAACAGTGGGAAGATATTGATAACAAGAAAAACAAAAAAAAGATGAGCGTTGATAAAACGATTCAATACAATGGATTTTCAGGTACATTAAAGCATCTTCTTGCTGGTTGTGGCTTCAATAAGATATTAGAAGCTCTATTAATACGAGATAACAGTAAAAATATTAATGCTAAAAATAATGAAGGAAAAACTCCTTTAGATTTTGCTTATGCTAGTGGCAATTTGGCGGTAATGGGAAAAATAATAGAGATGGGAGGAATAATATCAGAAGGAGTAGCAGCAATAGAAGAAGTAGTATCAGAAGAAGAAGTAATGGAAGAAGGAGTAGCAGAAGAAGAAGTAATGGAAGAAGGAGTAGGAGCAATAGAAGAAGTAATATCAACAGAAGAAGAAGCATCAGAAGAAGGAGTAGCAGCAGCAATAGAAGAAGTAATATTAATGGAAGAAGGAGTAGGAGCAATAGAAGAAGTAATATCAACAGAAGAAGAAGCATCAGAAGAAGGAGTAGCAGCAATAGAAGAAGTAGTGTCAATGGGAGAAGTAGCATTAGAAGAAGCAGCCACAGCAATAGAAGAAACTATGGAGGAAATGGAAGCAGAAGAATATACAAGTAGAAGTATTGATGTTCTTCGAGGTCAAGGTGGCAACACACTTTTACATTTGGTTACTCTGAGTGGCGATATACAAGTAATCAAAGATCTATTAGCAGCTGGTGCAGATGTTAAGAGTAAAAATGAAGATGGACTAACCCCTTTACAGTTGGCTGCTACAGAAGAGATATTCGATGTTCTATTAGAAGCAGCAGCAATAGATTCGTATTTCACGCATACTAATATAACAAATGTTGCTGAACAAACAGCGCGCGCGCAGTAAAAGAAATCCCTATTTTTGGGAAT